TACCTCCCCTGTATATATATATTTTTATAATTTGTATATGTATCTTTTCAATCTGTGCGAAAAAGAAATAAAAAGCTAAAGACACTAGTCTGTAGTTCACACTCCGGAGCAGTAGGAGGCGCTGATACACCACCGATGACACCAACTATGCACGTGACACAGTACGTACCGCGGCTGACCCGCCTGGACGCTGGATGTTAGCGGAGAGGTTCGTGTCCGTCACCTCGAAGTGAAACAGAAACAGTGTGTGGGATGAGTTAGTGTGGAGCTGGAAGCTTGGGGATCTGGGTGATGATGGCGGTGAACTGGGCGGACAGGCTCTCCGCTTTCTCCCGCAGCCCCTCTCGCTTCCTCTCGGGGACAACAGCCGAAGCTTTCCTGGCCGAGCTGCTCCGAGAGCTCCGCGATGACAGAGCCGGTTACAGCGTCAAGGTAAAATACAAACTATTCACGACTCTGTAGAAGCACGAGGCACATTTTAAAACACGTCGGAGTCAGGGAAACTTTAAAATCTCTTGTTTCGTTCTGCGACACAAGCTCCCGACACTCAGGTGTTTAACTGGAGTTCGGCACATTGCGTTCTGAACACAGTGCTGAGCTAATGTTATTTACACATTTGAAATAGATCAGTGTTGTGTGATTGACAATGATCAGGTTCCAGCTCCTGTGTGTGTTTGGATTGTTGCCTCGTCGTCTTCATTGATTTAAAAAGGAACCTCTTTGGGTTCAGTGTGTTAAAGTTGTCCGTTTGGCTATTTACTAAAATGATTCCATGATAGTAAATAATTCTAACATATACAAACACATGGGTGTACCCTAACCCAACTCTTTCAACAAGAGGCTGTACTCATTCTTTTTTATTTGTATAACAATCAATCAAATCACATTTTATTAATAAAGGCCATATTCGCAAATCATAGGGCTTAAAGGTTCAGCGTGTAAGATTTATTTAATCAGATTTAATTAATCAGATTGAATCAAGATTAATTAAGATTTAATCCTAGTGATGTTTTAACTGGTGTGTTTCATCTAAATTGTATGAATTGCAGTTTTCTTTACCCTAGAATGGGCTCTTTATATTTAAATACGTTATATTCATATGGAGGGGGGGTCCTCTCTGTGGAGGCCACCATGTTTTTTACTGTCCTCCAAACTTGACCAACTAAAGCGTTTGGAGTTATTATAAAAAATAAAACGTAGAAATCTCAGAGAGACGCATGTGAGGGATCCCTCTGCCAGGATGGACAGAAGTGCAATAGATGGCGTGAAACAAAATTTACAACATTAATGAGAAAAGACAGTGTCTAGCATAAATGGAGAGGTGTATCTATGTTTATAGTATTAATACAATAAGAGAGTATATATACTGTATGTATGAGTAATGTCTTAATCATAATCCACGATCCCTAATGTTGCTGCAGCCCCGATCCTGGATCTGCGTAGAGAGGGTGTCTGCCTCCTGAACTGAAAGGTTGATGTGTGTGAGTCACTTGTTTCACTCTCTGCCAAGTTTTTAATTCTCATCTTTTACCTCCTCCCCAGGTCCTCCTGTTGTCTCCACTATGTGAGTACCCGACACTGTTGTGTCCCTCAGACTCTGTGGGCGAGGAGACAGCCCTGGAGCTCATGTCAGTGTTCGCCCAGTGCCCCCCCAAATCCGTCCAGTTTCGTTGTCATCTCCTGCTGGCCCTCACCTCTGTGCTCGTCTGCACCTCCTGTGTGAGCAGCCAGTCCCCGGCATCTCAAGATTTCCTGGACCTGCTCCTCCAGTTATCCCAGGACCCTGGTGACCTCCATGGCGACGGCGCTCTTCACTCTCTCCGAGCCACAGCTTGTGACTGTTTGCAGGAGCTAGAGGCTTGTTCTCCCGGTTATCTCTCCCAGCACATTGAGCTCTTGGGTGCGCTCAGGCAGAGAGAAACCTCCAGGTTCCACCAGGCTTACACAGGACTTTACACTCTGGTGCTTAGGAATGCTGTGTATCAGCTCACCCAGGAAACTGGAGCTGGTGCCGAGCAACTCAAAGCTTTTCTGGGAGGGAACACATCAGTTGCATGGGAAGCAGAACAGGAGTCAGCCCTGACAAATAACACAGACTCTGGCGTAATGTTCTCTCTCATCCTGGGGCCCATGGGTTCAGTGCCCACCCTCCAGACTGGGTCTGACTGTAAGGAGCTGCGTTCAATCCTGTCTGCCCTCCTGGAGGAGTCCTACCTCCTCACTCCTTTGTGTCAGGCTGCGCTGCTTCATAGACTGACAGAGCTGGTTGCCATGGTCCCTGGTGTCCCTCCAGCCATATTCAGAGCTCAGCTGCTGCGACTGCTGGGCACGAGCAAGGTTTGTGTCAAATGGAATGAAGTGAAAAATACTTTGTCACAGTTTTTCCTATTTAAATCTTGGTGAATTAAAGGTCCAGTGTGTAAGATTTAGGTGAAAGGGATCTATTGGCAGAAATTTAATGTAGAATAATCCTCATGATGTTTTCACTAGTTTGTTTCATCTAAATTGTATGAATTGTAGTTTTCTTTACCCCAGAAAAGGTCCTTTATATTCAAATACTTTTTATTTACATCGAGTGGACCCTCTCTACGGAGGCCGCCATGTTTTTTACATTAGTCCAGACTGGACAAACTAAACACCTTTTGAGTTTTTATGAAAACTGAAGGTTCTTCTTCATATTTGGAAGGAGAGGGTGAGGTGAGAGGTGTTCAGCTGCAACATGCAATTTCAACACTAAATATCACTTAAGTCTACAGACTGTACCTTTAAGTAAATGAAGCCACTTTTTGGCAATAACTCCAGAGGATGTCAGCACAATTGTGTCTGGACTTTCTCTGGAGTTTCCCTTTCACACATGAACAACGCAGAAGATTTTCCGTTCAGGGTGATCACAGCAACAGAAATCTCTGGAGCGTTCAGATGAGGGGTGGCGCATCATGCAGAGGCAGGAAGTAACGTATTTATTCCCCTGGGGAGATCAGATTTTTGTTTTCAGCACATCAACACTGACGTCAGCCCTCTTGATATCTTTGTCTGTGTCTTTTATGTGTGTGGCTCTGCTTTTTCATCCGGAGGCCTGAACTACAAAGCAGGATTTGCAGTTATCAGGGTAACTTCAAGCTAACTTCAGGGTTTTCAGTCCGAAGAAGATTTTTAATCATTTTTTCCTTCCCTTTAAGTAGGTGTAGCCTATAAAATTAAAAATGTATTTGAAATTGGGGATAGATAGTTTACAGATTTACCTTGACAGCTGGTTGGTTAAGTCCATCTCTGCTGCTAGTTGTTGCAAACGTATCCACCACAGTGTTTCCTCAGAGTCAGTGCAGACAGTGTGTGTCAAACTAAAGCTCATCATAGAGGCGACATCATCTCTCATCCAAGAGGCTTCTTCCGTTCAGTTCGACAGGTCTTGTTAGCAAAGAACAGAATCATATCTCGTGGCCCGGAGTTATTTATCTCGTTCCCACA